CAAAATAGAGCGAAACACCAACGTCAAAGACCTGGGAGTGATCATGTCGGAGGATCTCACCTTCAAGGACCATAGCATTGTATCAATCGCATTGCTAGAAAAATGACAGGAGGATAATGAGAACCTTCAAACTAGGAGGCCAAGCCCATGATGACACTCTTCAGGGCACTTGTTCTATCTAGGCTGGAATATTGCTGCACACTAACAGCACCTTTCAAGGGAGGTGAAATTGCCGACCTAGAAAATGTACAGAGAACTTTCACGGCGCGCATAACGGAGATAAAACACCTCAATTATTGGGAGCGCTTGAGGTTCCTAACCTGTATTCCCTGGAACGGAGGGGGGAGGATACATGATTATATACACGATTATTACACCTGGAAAATCCTAGAGGGACTAGTACCGAACTTGCACACGAAAATCACCCCACTACGAAAGCAAAAGACTTGGCAGACGATGCACCATCCCCCCAATGAAAAGCAGGGGTGCCACTAGCACTTAAGAAAACCATACAATAAGTGTCAGGGGCCCGAGACTGTTCAACTGCCTCCCAGCACACATAAGGGGGATTACCAACAGACCCCTGGCAGTCTTCAAGCTGGCACTGGACAAGCACCTAAAGTCAGTTCCTGATCAGCCGGGCTGTGGCTCGTACGTTGGTTTGCGTGCAGCCAGCAGCAACAGCCTGGTTGATCAGGCTCTGATCCACCAGGAGGCCTGGTCACAGACCGGGCCGCGGGGGCGTTGACCCCCGGAACTCTCTCCAGGTAAACTCCAGGTAAATATAGCTATAAGCTATGCTGATGATATCATGATCCATACAACAGGGCATAAGAAGATGAATACCATTCTTAATGAAGTTCAAGCAATTTGTAATCGACTAGGCCTCATAATATCTTCCTCTAAAACAAAGATATTAACAAGCAAACGACATCCCCCACCCATCTATTTGCAGGGTGAAATCATTAGCTACGTTAAAACTTACAGATATCTTGGTGTAGATGTACCCTTTAACAAATCCACTATACCACAACTAAACAAGAAATGCAAAGCTAGGCTAAATGCTCTCAAAGCTGTTGCTGGCTACAACCTCAACTATGGTGCTAATGTGAGAATCGTGAGAATGATGTACATAGCCTATTTAGGTCCTTAATTGATTATGCTGCTCCCAGTTTGATATTAGCTAGAGAAAGTTCTCTCCGACCCTTGGAGTTAATGCAAAATGAAGCTCTCAGGATTATTCTTGGCTGTCCCAGATCTACAAAAGTTCTTAACATGAGGAAGGAGCTTGGTATTTCTAGTATCAGTGATAGGATTGTTGAGATTAACACTGTACTCGGTATTAGAATGTTGAGAAACGAACCAGACACTGTCACAATGAATCTTACCAAGTGTCTAGAGGTAAATACACACAGATCTAAATGGATTGTGAAAACGTGCAATTACATTAAGTTTTATAACCTGCATGAACTGTATCACTGTAGGCAACAAGAGCATTTCACCCCTCCGTGGAAGATGTGTTCATTTAATATCACATACCTGCAAGTCCCTCCCAAAAAGCTCATTGCTAGTAATCCCTTCCTTAAATCTCTTGTTAGAGCAACTGCTCAAGAAGAAATTTCTACACCTAGCTGGTAGAAATAAGTTATCACAAGTTATATACACTGATGGATCTAAACAGGAGTCTTCTGGCAGGGCTGCATCTGCTCTTGTTGCCACCTCCCTTGTTAAGAACGATAATAAATTTGTTGAGATAGGCATAAGAATTAACAACTGGGCGTCTACACTGCAAACTGAATTGTTTGCAATCCTAATGGCGCTAAAGCTAACCTATGACACTGAGCTTGACTATCATCATTACTGATTCTATGTCATCACTGAAGGCTCTTGACTCGTATAATGACTCCAACAACATGCTCATTGGAGAAGCCAGGTACAGATACTCAAAAATTAGGGACAAAGGAATTAATGTACAATTGCTATGGATTCCATCACACATTGGATTACTCCTTCATGATAAAGTTGATATGTTAGCCAAGAAGAGTACCTAGAATGAGAATGTAGAATATAACTTTGGTATAACTGTGTCTAGCATTAGGAATAATATTAGGAGAGAAGTAAATAATGAAAATGATTGTTATAGGAATGCAGTTAGAAGCCTGAGTAGATCTATAACCCACTATGATAACATGAACGTAGATAAGTATGTTTATGGAGCAACGTGCAATGTGAACAGACTGACTGATGTTGTAGTGGCCAGGCTTAGGCTTGGTTACAAGTACTTCTGGCAGTTTGGGAGACAGATGATGATCAAACTGAATGTAAATTATGTGATCAGGCATATGGTCACTCTCTTGAACACTATGTGCTTAATTGTCCACTTATTGAGGAATACAGAGACAGACAGTATAATAACCTATGTAACATGTCAAGATATCTTATTAATGAAAATAAGATACCAGATATACTAAGCAAATTTCCTAAATTTGCTTGTAACAGATAAGTGAACTATAGATATGTAGATATAAATCCTATGTATTCCTGTTAACCCTTTGGAGCCTAGTTCCTAGGCCTTTTGTGTATCCATATGCTCTCGCGCTACCGTCCACAGGATGGATATGGGGTGCACAATAAACTAGCCACTTCGGTGGCAAAATCTATATCTAACGGATGACCACATTTGATCACCAGAAACATGGTCCAGAAGAGCTTCCAACCAATACAACCCGAGAGGATTCATTCCTTAAACCGAGTGACGCTCCACATTACACAAATTCGTGCAGTCATCAGAAGGAGAAATGTATTAAATAACAATGGTTGTAACTATAACCTTAATTTTTAAAAGGGTGGACCAGTAACCAGTGGAAGACCTTGGTCAGATGACCAAAAGCTCCAGCAGTGGGTCATCTTATGACTAAGACCCGTTTCCTGACGAATATTACCTAACCTAACTTCAAAATAAAAAAAAAAATAAACTACACGTACAGTGAAGAACTCCCATTCACCTTCAGACAAGTTATTATTTTAGCATCAAACTATTCAGCAGTAACTGTTTTGATATATAATTGTATATACAAAGAATTTTTAAGTCTGGATAGTAATGGGGGACCACTATAAAAACATGGTTATAAATGACCATAATTTTTAAAGGGGTGGACCAATAAGCCAGCGGAAGGCCTCGGTCAGATGACCAAAGCTCCAAAGGCGAGTCATCATCTGACTAAGACCCGCGTCAGGAAACATTTGTCCTGTTTCCTGATGAACCTTACCTAACCTAACTGGATGGTAACACATGACTAAATGAAAAAGTGTAAGGTCCCGATTTGATAGTTATAATAATGATTGGTATAAATGAACCAATTCCTAAAAAGTAGTAATTTACGGCTATTTTACATATTCATTTTTAAGTAATACAGGGCGCATCTAAGTGCAATAACACTAAGATCAGCAAGGCTTGCAAGCAGCTCCGTGGAAACTAGTAAACTGAATTTAATATACTTTCCCTTCAAACGTATCCCATCACCAAGTAAAACTTTCATAAGCCACAAATAAATTTTAAAGTACTGAACGCAATGACTTTCCTGTATGTGATTAGGTTAATCACTAAAGCTTACTATTAAATCCCACGCGAAGCCACCAACAAAAACACCGGAGGCATCAGTAACGTCAAACTTGAATGTGTCATCAGAGATGATTTCTATGAGTGGGCACACAACGGTCGAGTAGTTCCTTGCTATGCGATCCAACAGCGGCTCCAGCCAACCTGATTTAGCCAGTATTATCAGTCTGTGTTAGGTCGACAAAGTGTCCGAAAGTGGAATATTAATAGCCACAACAAAATGTTTTCAAGCAAATCCTTTTGACATTGTCAGTGTGTTTTCATCAGGGTAACAGTGTGGCTAAAAAAAAAAAAAAAAGGAATATCAAATGCAGGTTTAGGTTAGTTCACAGTAATGCTTTGAAATTACAAATCTTTCTTGAACCCGACTTTTAAACTGGTGGCATAGCAGTCGAAGTCTCAAAACAAAACATTTGGAGAGCTACCATACGCAGGCACATCTAAGTTATCATTACCAGAATACAAGATACATCACCTGTGCTGTAAAAAATGTATCATGAAATTGAATTGTCACTTTTGTCTATTTGCATACATAGAAAAAACTTAAGTAATCATGACTATTCTCTTGAAAGCACACTCACAAAATAATTGATATTAAATAATTGCCGACTTGCAGTTCCTTATAGAAAGCATTAACTTCAACCTGTAAATAAAAGAATACTGTTACCATTACAGTATAAGATGAATTAGTCGAGATGTGTACTGCTGCTACTTCTAAACACCAGTTTAGCTGGAAATCAAGATTATAAAAATTTCAATGGCTTCCTTCACGCATACAGTACAAGTATCATTATAGAAATACACGAGAAGTTAAATAAAAGCAGTGTAAAATATACAATACCATATTTAAATATCATATTTTTTTCCAATACGTATGTTGAACGACTTACTGAAAGCCCAAACAAGCTTCCGAGTCAGCCATGATGACCCCCGTAATCACAACCTATTTGCAGCCATTATTCTGTAACATGTTAAGACCTGTAATATTTCAAATGTATTGTTAAATGACACTGCCTGCTTGCATATATTAATAAATATAAAATATACATTATCTGTGGGATTCATAAAAACATTTTAACAAGGGAATGCAAGCCATCACCGGGTTACTGTAAGAAGCTCCATGCAAAACCAAGACAAAAGTTCGGCACAGTTAATGCTCAAGTCTGTTTCATCACTGCCTTGGTTTTAAACCAAGTTAAATTCTAGTGGATCTCCCTGTTGATTAGTGAATTTTCTAATCTGTTTAAATGATACGGAAGCACATACAATGAGGCGATGCAGAATTAGATGTTATAACCTAACCCGTCACCCAAGCCTATATGATATAGACAGTAATGTCATGTTGATGTGGATATGGCCAGGAGCGTGCACGGAGCCACACCTGCAGGTTCCAGTCGAAGCCACCCACATTGACACCAGAGGAGTCGCGGTAGTGGTACTCGAAGTTGTCGTCGGAGATTACGTCTATGACTGGACAAACGACGATGTGGGGATCAACAGCGATGCGTACCAACAGAGGTTCCAGCCAACCTACAGATGCCAAGCCAAGAGCAAATCAGTGCTAGTTGATGGATATCACAACCTCAGCAGAGTCGAGAAACAAAAGTTGGGATTACGACTGCGCACTGTTTCTAAGATGGTGCACTCTTCCAAACACTGGTGACACCATCAGACTGTGAACAGTGGGAACTATGAATGAGCTCCCCATCACTCAGCCCAAGGTGATGCTAACACAAGTGGCGCACTTAATCCACTTACACATACTTTCACTTAGCATGTTAAAATGCTAAGTGAAAGTTTGTAAGATCCTCTAGTGCATAGCAGGTCGTTCTTGTCCGTAAAATGTGTAGGCTACGCTAACACTATTCCATATGCATAGGTCTCAAATTCCAAGTTGAAACCTAAATAAAAGGTACTTCTTTATGAAAAAATAAGCAGTTATTAGATAAGTATTCATTACCTTGTCCATAATAACTTTTTAAACTCACATCTACTAAATGCCATTCATTTGAAATATAGGAGGATAAACACCACTTTAATGTCTGTGTGAAAAGAGATGGCCGTTATCGTCACATACCACAGATTAAAAGAAAGATGAATTTGTTTACAGATTTGAAAATTAAGAATGAAAAAAAACGACACATTGTCGTGGCTGGAACAATTTACAAATAACCCGCACTTAGAAGAGGCAGTTTATGATGACATTTCGGTCTATCCTACACCATTCTCAAGCTGTACAGGAAGGACTGAAATTTGACAGGTTTGCACTTATTAGTGCACGTTATCTGTGAATTAAAAACTAAGATTAATATAATACCTCAGGTCGTTCATCCATAAGTTTGTCTCTTAGTTCCCAATGCTTTATATACCAACAATGATTAGTAAACCCTAATATACTAACAGCCGGTTGGAACCAAGAGTATTGAATCTGTCTTCAAAATCTGAAGGAGGACGTGAATGCAAGTTTTGTCAACCGGTTTTGTCTCTGATCAAACCTGATTGTCTTCCATTCCCCAGACGCTCTATGAACCTTATGGCTTCAGCACTTCCCATAAATATTAAAATAAAACTGTATACTAGTTATGAATCACAATGAGAGTCGTCGTGTTCTTTTATCGATACTATACACACAAAACAGTACTGCCGCTGTCACCATAAATTTAAAACTCATACGAACTGAGCTAAATTTGGCTGCCTAAGTTTTACCCAATAGTTTCTACTACATTTCAGGAAAAATCTAATTTAATACTTACTACTAGCCCGTAACTTAGCTTTTTCTTAACACAATAAGCTACATCCGGGGTATTCAATTACTCATTTGATTTACATGGCATTCAAGAGAAAATTCAGTCTGGCAGACTAAAATGGGGATGGGGATATAACTAAGCATGTCATTATGAATACAGTGTCTACAGGAGCTGTAGAGTCTGTTTCAAACATCTTAAGTTATTTTGAAAAGCCAGACACACACATCAACTAAACAGAGAGGGTATGGCAAACACGAAACAAATGTATGCAGACCTTAGGTTAGGTAAGGTTTGTCAAGAAACAGGACAAATGTTTCCTGACGATGACCCACCATTGGAGCTTTGGTCCTAGTTTTAACCATCTGCTTATGTATGCAGACATGTCACCATTAAGAGCTGGTACAAACAAATCCTCCAGGTAATGGCAAATTACTATGGCAATATGTGAAAGATTGTGTCCACACTTTACATGAACTACTATTTGATGAGGCCTAGTAAATGTGTTTGTAGTGGTAATGATAGATTTTAAGATTGTATCCACATACTATATTGGGTAGATTAGAAATTATGAAAATTTGTAACATGAAATGACCGTAAATATCTAAAATATGTAACTATGTCCAGAGTATAACAAAGCCCCATTTTGACCACTGTAATCCTTTTTTTTTTCTCACTACTCTTCAGGTATACCGCTCACAGGATACGCATAGTGTGCCAGTTGCTCAGGAGACACAATTAAGGGTCCAAGAATACCTGTTCCCGCATATTCATAAATTGAAATACATCGAAAGTATTTATTAATGCAAAAAAATCTGTCAAATTCAAGTTCTTTATTTATTTTCCTTGACACGCCAGCAATCTTCCATGGAGGTAAGGTGACCTTACCCCCTGAAAAAAAAAATGGAAACATACCATCATTCATTCAATCACTATTGCCAGAGGTGTAGTGACATCACAGTTGGGATGACCCTCCGAACTGCAATATCATCACCCCAGCCTTTAGAGATCAGGCACTGTAATTCCCACCTCTAGGACCCCAAGTCTGTCTAAATGGATATTTGAATCCTTCGTAAATATTGCTTTGCGCACACTACAACAGCGCGTCAAGCAATATTATACCACTCCTAACGCGCTCACGCAAGCCTGTTGAATGTTTCTGCCCCTATTCCTCCCACTAAACATTCCAGGGACAAACCCCATCACTCCTTATTTCCACCCTACATTTAGATGCCCTCTTATTCAGCCTTCACTGTCCTATAATTTCAAAATGTTCAAATGGCCTCAACAGCCCTCTTAATTATGCAACTCCATATAGTCTTCATCTCCACGCTCCGACTACTCTGCATTAAGTTCTTATTACCCTCAAAGATATATCTCCACTGCCTTCTGCCTTCACCTTTCTGCAACGTTTAATTAAAACCCATGCCTGTTACCCACATAAGTTTTGATACCACTATTTTCTGGCACATGCCCCTTCTTGTCTCCGTAGATAAAAATTTTTCCACAGATGTCTCAACACACCACGTACTTCTTACCCCTCGTCTATTCTGTGGTTCGCTCTTTCACTGACCCGCATGTCGACAGGTCCACTCTCAAAACATCTGAATGCATTCACTTCCTCCATATTCCCTCCCTTCAATATTATATAATACTATTTCATTACCAAGACTGCTACCCTCATCATCATGTTTTTTTCTATATCCACTTTTAATCTTTTACAAGCCCTCCCAATTTTCTCTACCAATCTTTGTAACTTCCGCTTTCCTTACGTAAAATCACTAAAATATGAAAATAGTTTTTGCCATGGGGATGAAGTGCGTAATAAAACTAACTTTAGTTTTTCAAGAGCAGATCATTATTTTAGATATTTGGTTAAGCTAAGGTAAGCTAAGCTATGTTTGATTATGGTAGGTTGCTGAAGCTAGGACTGATTTGCTGAGGCTAGGACAGGACTGTTTAGATTACTGTAAGTATATTTAGGCTAGGATAGATTAGTTCACATTAGTAGGACAAGGACAGATTAGATTCATTTAGAAGAAATTATAAGGCTAGGTAAAGTTAGCTTACATTAGGTTATTCTCTGTTTATTCCCATAGCTCTGGGACTAATGTTGTTGCCTAACTATATTTTCTTCAATTAGCATTCTTTATCAAACTTCGAAAATGACCTATCATACTTTATGTCGTCTATAGAGCCGTGAATGACTTGGATATTCCTGGAAGCTATTCAGAGATTATTCAGTTAATGTATGTCTGTTGCAATATGCTCGGCCCTATGCTCACCTGTAGGTCTTTTTTCAGTGAGGTTTACAGCCTCTGCCCCCAGTGTCTATACTCAGTTTCCAGTCTTCTTGCCCCCTTCCTCAATTTTCCTAACTTTTCAGTCTTTATTTTCTCGCCAGTTTATTTTCAAATTCAAACAGGTAAAATCTCTCTTCTAGTACGTCATTCAAGTACACTGAAAACAGTACTCGTCCTAATACCAGGCCATGGGAAACCCAACCTAGTACACTTTTTCCCACTCCGACATTTCAACAATTTGTCTCCTTCCCATAAGGTACTCTTTGATTCACTGTAGCACATTCCTTGTTATTCCTGCCTGTTCCTCAAGTTTTCATCCATATGTCTTGAGAAGTGCAACATCAGATGTCTTCTTGCAGGTCTACCTAATATTATAACCAAAAAGAAGCACTAAATCTACAAGGGTCATATAGCATAGCGGGGTAGGGGATAGTGCGGGATCAGCAGGCCCGGCTAGCACATGCAACCCACCCGTCCTTCTCTCCTACCTCACTTCTGTTATTGTCACAGAACTCCAAGTTAATGAAGCAAGATTTGCCATCTCTAAATTCTTTCCAGTTATTGTTTATGAAACCACTTCTGAGTGTTCTACCATACTCGTTCTGATTATGTTCTCTATTGTCTTACATTATATACATATTAATGACACTGGCCTGAAATCTAATATTTTCCGTCTCTCCTCACTTAAATATTGAGACTACGTTTGCTCTATTCCAATTCGCTGACAAACGTCTTGTATCCACAGATTTCCTGTAGAATTTAGCTAATATATTAAATAATGTTTCTGCTCCATGTTGATGTATCAGACTCAAAAGTTTGTTCACCTCTTTTCCTATTGTATGCAAGGCCTACAGTATGCGTGTCTGTTCCACTTCTTTGATTCGCTAATGTTGTCCCTGTTTCCAGTGAAAACATATCCCTTTAATAATTTATTTTCCAATTCCTCACCTTGTTTCTTGTGAGCTATCTTTCTTTCTTAATCAATCTTACTGCCTTTTTTTGCAATTGACATTCTTCTGACGTGACTGTAATGCAGTTTTAGTTCACTTTGCTTTTGTTGCCATGCCAGTGGCAGCTCAGCTTTTCTTTTCACTTGTTCTTATTCGTTTCTAACTCTTCTGAGCACTTTTATTTCTGTCCTTCATTTCTATAGCTTTTCCACACTCTTACACTCCTGTTTTTCCTTTCTACATCTTTGACTGAACCTCAAGGTCTTCCTGTATTTACCACTGTCTTCTTTTTCTGGGTATGAAATTCTCTGCCTTCCTCCACTTTCCGGTTAGGTACTTCAACTCAGTCGTTGACTTTTCTCCCAGTTCCTTTCCCCACTGCTCTGCAATCAGGAATACTCTCATTCCTTCTAACATTCCTCTTTACAAATCTAGTCCTGCTCCCCCCCCCACATTCCTTGCCTGCTATTTTTACTCTCAATGTTTAATTCTACAAGGCCTCGATTCCCGGAGAGGGTAGAAACATTGGGTGT